ACAGATCGTGCCCACGAATCCTCCTCGCTCTTTCTTTCTTTCCACCCCTTCTCCCTCCTCTCCTCTTCTCTCTCCCGTGACGAGAATGAGAAAGCCCTTTTATCTTACACCGTAATCCGAAACTAACATAACGATCCGTCTTTCTGAAACCCCAAACAACCCTCCGGCTGTGCAACCCCGGTGCAAGGAACGTGCATCGAGGCGCGTCCGCACACGTACGTGTATCCCAAGATCACAGACACACGTGTAGAGATTAGCGAAGAGGGCAGAGGAGGGAGGAGGAGGAGAGGAGAGGAAAGGGTCGTTCGTGCAAATCCAAGAAGCTACCGGAACAAACACAAGCACCCCCTCCCTTTTCTTTTACCTCGAACCCATCGACCGTGCACACCGAGAAGCGGCAGCAGCCCAGTGGATCCTCGACAGTATTTCAACGAAGTATCTAAGAAGTGAAACGTGTGAAATGTAGAAGGGGCTGGAGGCGTGACTCGGAACTCGTATGAGTCGCGCCAGATGTTACAATATTTACTGCGAGAAGAGTTTTCTCCTATACACCCTCCTCCTACCCTTCCCGCGGACACCCACCCTCCCATTCTCCCCCTCTTTCCACCTGGATGCTCGTGACGTGCGTGGTACACACGTAACTGACGCGTACACGGCCGACTACATGTGTACACGTTTACACGCGCGATAATATTAATGTCCCGTAATGACAGGCCGACAAGAGGCCTGGATGGGGGAGGGGTGTAACGTGGCAGCGATATTCTTTCTTCTCTCCCCCGCGATCAAAGGTGAACGCGGATAAAGTGGGTTTTCGCCGAGGGTTGGAAAGCGAGCAGCCTCGAAGGGGTTTCGATCAACCCCTTTGGGGGGAAGGGAAGAGGTGTTACGTGGATTGACGTTAATTACCTCCTCGATCATGGACATTGAATAGAGTCGACAACGTTGATGTATGAAGAGTTTATTGAAAGTTTCGATTGATGCGTCTCGATTGATTTGAGACAATTTGGGGAAAGAAAATTTCGTCGTGAATGGGATTTAGAAGATTTTTTTTTTTTTTTTTTTTACTTACAATGGTCGCCAGAGTAGTGATTATAAGATGGATATTTTGTACAACAAGTGTAAGGAAGATGGGTAGTTTCTATAGCCGTCAGAAGGGAGAATTCATATTGGAAAATAATTCTTGGAAGCAGTGACCTAACTTTTTTACAAATACACGTAATACGTTTAACCTCCATCTAAAGCAAAGCCTATTTCTACTGAGTTGAGGTAGAATGGGTGCAATATAAAATGGCCCCTGTGCTTTTCTCTCCTTTCATTGCAGGATATCAGATTTTTCCACGTCATCAGTTTCTGTTTTGTAAAAGATAACTTTTAAAAAAGTGTATAAATTGATGATGATGAAAGAGTATTATCGATAGATTAGATAAATTAGATACGTTGTTTATTTATCGTATAATTTGTTAGATTTAAAAATGTATCATCGTTGAAACGAAATGATTTACAGATCGATTTTTAAAATCCTGTTTTCAAAAATGCCTGCGAAACACCTTTATTCTTTCTGTATTATCTTCGCTGAGCTGACAGGAAAGAATTATATCGACTTATCTTGAATTTGTCACAAAGGGAGATTTAAAGTAAACGAAACAAACCTTGTAAACTTTCATAGTTAATTTTGATTCTGCCGACATTTTGTTATATCATTCCATGAACTTCGTTCCTTCTTCAGCGAACAACGATATTTCTATTCCGGGACAAAGCGATATTTTTCAAACCGTTCAACCAACTGCAAATTCACTACGTAAGAAAGAAAGTTTCTTGTCACTTTGCTGTTTATCCGTCTTCATCTTCATTCCTTTATCTTCTTCTACTTTTGCAAGAAAAATTGTAAAACGTAAATCGCAACATTTGCTTCGTGTATCGAGGAAGGAAAAGAAGAGCAATCCCTTTCCCTTATGAATTACGATTTAAGCTTCCTTCTACATAAAGTATCTAAAATCTATTAAGATTCAGACAATTAAATATAAAATTATTCAAGTTTCAAATATCACGATACGATATCAAAAACACCACGTATATTTCTATCCTAAATGATTAAAAATACATTTTTCTTAAAAAGAAAGAAAAATAGTTTCCTAACAAACCTATGAAAAAAAAATTTTCTTCAAACGCCTATCTCTTGCATCCAATCCAGAAGGGGTTAATATATATCCTCCCCTCGTGCAAAATACATTGGAAGGAATTTACCGATCGAACGGTTCACAGACGCGACACGTACAGATTTTCCACGGGCCAAGATATCGTTTCTAATGAAACTCGTGGCGTCCGATGGTTGCACGGATCGGAGATGAGGGCGGAATCATAGGAAACGTTGTGTTATCTTTCCACCCTGATCGAATCGTTCCGACGCCGGCGAAAGTAGGTTAATTGACTAATATAGATCGTAGGAGGGAGATCGTCTCTGGAGATCTCTCTCTCTCTCTCTCTCTCTTTCTCTTTCTCCTACCTCTTCCATTCCGCACATCGTCTCCGGATAACGCGACGTCGCATTAATGTGTAATTGGTGGCGAGCTGGCAAGGTGACACGATACCGGGAACGCCGAGGGGGAGGCCAGCCGTGTGATGTAGTGGCGGCAAGCCTGCCGCCAGCATAGACATTTTACCCGTGGAAGACGCATGGTCCTTGCTAATATGACGTTTGAAATATGGCGCAAAGCGCGTTCGAAGGTGCGAGAGGGGGAGGGGAGCTCGGTGTACTAGGTGGAAGAAAAGAGGCGGAATTGAACATGGGGGAGAAGAGGTGTTGAAGCGAGAGAAATGGAAAAAATGGTAAACTATTGCTCTCTGTACGAATTTCGCTAGAGATTCTCTACCTATCTTTGCGACTTTTATAGTATAATTTTGTTGTTAATCGCGGAATTATCATCTCTTTCGTCCTTATCTCTTTGGAGATATTAAAAAATATTTCGACGATCGGGTACAAAGATCCATTTTTAAAATCATCCTCTATAAAAAAATTATTGGTATTAAAAAATATATATATACGTATTGGATAACTCGAATATAGAATCCATCAATTCCGAGCGGAGCTTCGAGGAACTCGCGAACAATTTTTATTACCATTTAAAAAGATCCCGTAAACGCGCGAAAATTCCGAGAAGCAATTTCTTCCTCAGTGAGTGGATATCCACCGGGAGAAGAGAGGAATCTTTCCGCGTTGGGCTAAGCGGAACTGAAACGTTATCGTCGAAGTACCGATGCCTCGAAACCTTGCCTCCCCTCTCCGAACGACCAAGAAAATGAAGAAGAGGAAGAACAAGAAGAAGCAAGAAAAGGAAAAAAGAGCTCGATGAACGAATACAAAGTAATCTGTCGAAGGAACAGTTTGATTCTCGCTCTAAATTCTATTCCACGCCGTTTTCCACGCCGCCCTGGTGGAGAACCAGGCCCATCCGGATTACGGAACACGAATCCAAAGGAAAGAGAGGAGGGGAAGAGGGAGTCAAAGTCCCGGTTATAGAGGACTCTACGCGCACTCCACCGATTTATTCGAAAAATCCGTGGAAAGTGGCACGTTTCACCCGTTGTGAGAACCGTCTAACCCACCCCTTTCCCTCCGTCCTCCGGCATGCCTGTCTTCCGCACCTTCTTTTCCACCCACACCTCCGAGCACAGTTCGGTGTCTGGCCGTCTAACGCCTCCCCCCTCCCACCCCCGCGACCGGTTTAGGTATTCCCTTCGTAGTAAGCTTGCCGTAGCCACCCCCGGAGCCAGTTTAGCGTCCTCTCTCGCGCCCCTATCTGATTTCAATGTGGTTCGGTTACGTGCCTCAAATCAAAAACACGAACGTTATTTCTGCACGTGGTCTCCTCCTTCACTCCTTCCCCCTCTCACACACACACTGCGCAAACCTGATCCACCCAATTCCGTGCACACCCTCTCCCCCCTCCCCTCCACGATCATTCCTTGTCAACCCAAACCGAGTTTTCCCCTTTTTCGAAGACATATATATATATATATATATCGAGTTTTCCGCGCGTTTTCCATATATGTATATGTGCGAGCTTGTGCACGTTTCTCATATACACGTATAGATACATACACAAGTACAGGCGGCACCTTATAAACTTTTATTTTCGAGCACGGAAGGCTCGACGAAAGGAAGCTCGCGATGGGTCGCGTGGAGGAGGAGGAGGAGGAGGAGAGAAGGAAGAGGTGAAAGTTGGGGTTAGAAAGGAAGGAGGACGGAACGTTCTCGAGCGGGAAGGAGCGTATGTTCTGTCAAGCTGTCGCTGAGAGGGAGCTCGGCTGCCAACTTATGGGACACGTACAATGCGAGCCAAGAATATTGCAGCTCCTGTCGCCCTTTTTTACCCCTTTCCGCCCACTTTTCCTTCATCCACCCCCGCGTTTATATATACGTATATATATATATGTGTGTGTATATATCTATATATGTGTCTTTGTCGCTGTTGAAGGTGGTACAAAGCGTTCGAAAGGACTGCTCGCACCCTCGTCGGATATTGAAATGTATTTAGCAAAAAAGAAGCGCATAAGTACTTGACACGGACAACCGTTTTGTAGGCGGCCCTCCTCGCGCGCCAGCCTGCCCTAACTTGCCCGTGTGCCCAACTGTCTCTGCCACCGGTGCTTATAATGTTGAGAAACGTGTGACGGCCGATACGGATTGAAAGAAGATGAAAATGTAAGGGGTGATACCTCTCGCGCCTCCCTTCTGCGAATTCCAAGTGAAAGAAGTGAGATGTTTAAACGTTTCAGGAATTTGGGATATTGTTCGATCGACTTGGAAGAATTAGAAGGAATCTGTGCTGTATGCGCGCGAATTGTTCGAGGAAAATAGGTGAGAAGAGAAGTATGGTCAATGATTAGGGTGACAGAAAGTGGAAGTAACGAAAGCATATGAAATATATATCGTTAAGGATATTGAACAAAAGAAAGGTTCGTTGTATTTTTAATAATCATTGAAATAATATTGAATTAAATCCATATTGTGAAAGGTTATCAGCTTGAAAGTTCGCTAAAATAAATTACATAAACGTTAGAGGATAAAATATTTGCGACACAAAAATGTAAAATAAAATATCTAAAAATATAACATCAAGTATTTATTGAATTTAATACTGAAAATACAAAAAAAAGGGAAGAAAGTTACCTTCTGCGAAATCCATTTTCCAATCCAGATGGTCGCTCTTCGCTCGATCGGATGATCCGTCGACCAGACATCCCATAAATCTTAGAATCCCTGTATCGTATTAGTCAAACGGGGGATATCCCGTAGAATGCACAGGTTTCACGCAAGGAATCGACTAAGTTTCCGTCGTTAACTCCGTTTCCCTCCCCTTCCACCCCACGAGTTGAGCCGCGTGTTGTCGTCGCCAATGCGAGGATATAAAAACCGCCCCGACGACAGCTCTCCGTGACAAACGATCGCATTGTGAGCGCCCTACTTCTTTCCTCCCCCGCATAAATCCTTGTACGGAGCGGAGATTCGTCCAACTTTAACGACTTAATAAACGATTCCAATGCGTGATTATACGTGCTAATTGTCCATATTTGAAATTATATATTTCTTTTAATTAATTTCTTAGATAAAAATATATTTTTATCTAATTTTTAATATATTTTATCTAATTATTAATATAATTATTATATATAATTATTAATATAATTATTTTATCTAATTTTTAATATAATTTAATATAATTTGTTAATATAATTTGTTATGTTTATGTACGTTTTATAAAATGAAAGTTAAGAAAAGTAATCAGTGTGATTATTAAGTTATAAAAAATATATGGTTTTATCAAATTGAATCGTCATAATTTATAAACTTATATCAATGACAATATTGAATATTTTGATTGAATATCTAAACTGTTTACAAAGGAATACAAAGGTAACAAGTTTCGAAAATGAATGTATCAATAATTGAAAAAAGAAATTCTGCTCAATGTTGTTACTTACTTTGGAAACGTAAAATTCTTCTGGAATCGTTCAGACAAGTGTACATCCGTGTAGGAGAAGGAGTTAACGGGTAAGGAGTGGTTGGTTCAACACGAGCCAACACCTCGTGGCTCGTCCGACCGCCGCTTTTCGGTAATCCAATGGCTTACATTTGTTTCAGGTCGTAACACAGGCCGGCGGAATCTGCACACGATTTAGCTCCCTCCGGAAAACAAATTCCATCATGGACCGCCTGCGAACCAAGTCAAATGGATAAGAAGGTATAGAAATCGTAGCTCGTGCCAGAAGGAACATCTCCATACATTTCTTGCCGTTCCCTTTTAATCCAAAGATTTAAATCTCGCCTCCTCGCGGCGGAAAAAAAGCGCCACGTCCCTGAAGCGAAAAAGTCCGATTGTAAGCTCTTGGTCGGATCCCGAGAATTCACCAGGCCGAATGACTTGGAGAGGAGTGCGTGATTTAAGGAGTGCACACGATACGTGAATTATACGGATCTCGAGGGGAGGCTGTGAGTCTTCTTATTATTCTATCTAGAATTTGCCTCAAAAATCTTTTTTAGTACAGGATGATAATAAAAATGGGAAATAATACGTTTGAGTGGAAGAAAGATTCGGTTCAGAAGTGAAAATATTACTTTTGTTGGGTAAGAATTAAAATTGAAAATATATTGGTATTTTAACTTATCTATTTTAAAATTAATGTTTAAAATTCTTGAGAGATATTTAAAAGTATTCTAATCTAAAACACCAAAGTACAACAACTTCGTGTAATTAAGTAATGGATAAATTTTATATTTAAATAGAATTTAAATTTATATTTAAATGCAATTTGTAAAATAATTGAAAATATATATTTAAAATGTAAATTATAAAATGAGAAAATTTGATGACAAGTGATGCGGTAATTTGAATAAGCAGTATTTTACTTCATTTTAATAACGGTAAATACGTCAATTTCAATAAAATAGAGTACCAACCGTAGTTGCTCAAATAACAGAGAATTCTGGCTTTAATACCTTAATATAGTAGCCTCTCGAATTAATAATTTTGTGGAGGCGAATATATCCTTTGATATGTGAAAATATGAAACGTATGAATATATGGTCTAATAAAACGATGTAAATAAGAAGATATTTTCATTCAAAAGATAAAAATTTAAATGAATACATTATATATAATTTATATTATTTCGAAAAAATACAATAATTTAATTATAAATAGTTTAAAATGATTCAATATGATACACTTTCGTTTCAAGATTTTCTTTCATAAAACCTAATATTGTGGCAGCTTAACCCTTTACATGAATTCTCGTGGTTTAATATGAGGTGCACATGTTGACTGACAGCTCGTACACGTCACATTCACTTTCTAAAACCATAACGATGGCAAAGTAATTAGAAGAGAAAGATTGCAACTAAATTGAATTACTACAAGTAATTAATATTAAATTTCCTATCTTTCACTTGGAAACGAATCAATGATTAATTTCTCAATAAAAATAGAAATCTTCCTTTAATTTTTTAAATTATATTTGTACATAATCCCAAAGAATTTATTTTCATAAATTATTATACATACAAAATATTCCATTAAACAATGGAAATTTAAACAAACGCACTGTTTCAAAATTCAATTTGTTCGAATTTGTTAGAAAAAAAAAATTGAACTATTACCTATATCGAATTAAATAAAATGAATACGCGAAATAAAAAAATAAAGAAGTATTTATCTCATTGGTATTGACTACCATGCAATATATACTATTAACGCGATTCCATACAACGATACGTTGATTTATTACCCTTAATTTTTCGATCGACGGACAAAATAAGCAAACAATTAATCGTACCAGGAAAGAAAGTATATTTCGATCAGATTATATCACACTAAGGGTATTGGTGTCTCCAGATAGAAATGCGCCAGGGGATCGTGCAGAGTAAACTCGATTGTATCTTGTTTGTACGCGCACCACACTCAAGATCGAAAGCCCGATGAGATTATCGAGCCTATTATCCGGTAGCAATCATTCTTAAAATAATCGTAGACATCTCGTTATTCGGGACGCGTAGTTCGATAATGAAACAGGAGGGAAAGAAATTGTAAAGCATCAAATTCGAATAAGATAATATTTGATGTTTGAGCGATAGGACAGACATGATCGTTAAAAATAAAATTTTTGAGATATCTGAAAAAAATATTAAAGATAATTATAATTTTGTATAATTTCCTGATGATTGTCTATCAATCAATTATATATTTCATGCTTGATTGTATTCATTTTTTCAATGATAAAAAATAAAGTAAAAAAAATAAAAATTACATTTTGACATATATTTGATATAAAATATTTCGATATAAAATAACGTGACCATCGTGAAATGTTTTAATATAAATTCATCGAAAAGGATTGACATTAATAAGATATTCACATTTACGAGTACATCGATGTCGTGATAATTTTCTCCTTTTAATGTTAATCGCAAGTGGCACGTTTTAAATGAGGAACATCTAGAAAAAACAATTGAAATAATGAATATCTTTTTATTCGAAAAATTATTCACATGTGTAAAATTTTTCCATAATTATAATTACAAAAAATGTATTTAATTATAAAAATAATAATTAAATTTATATTACATAGTAGTGATGCATTTTTTAAAAATATTTAAGAAAAAAATATCACTGTTAGTCTGTGGATTTTTATACATCAAAAATATATTTATATATTTAATTGATATATAAAAAAATATGTTATATGTCATTAAAACACTCAGAAAAGGAGATAATTATTAATATTTCAATCATTGCCAAGATATAAGGATTTATTCGGATTTCATTAACTATTTATATCAATTATATAAAAAAATTAACTTTCTATAACCTCAATTTAAACACAATTTTACTAGAAAAGTGAAAAAAAAAAAAAAAAAGGAAGAATATCAATTCTAAAATTTTTTCATTAAAAGTTTGATCGATTCGTCACTTTTGTACCTATCTGAAACGTGTTTTTGATGTACTTTGATGGATTAAATAAAAATTGATTAGAAAAAAAATAAAAAAAAAATTACTATTGTTTGTTATCCAATATCCATCTCTCTATATCATTTAATTCTTTTGCGTGCAAAATAATCGATTGTAATTTTATCTGGTTGTTTAGTTTTGTTAGCTTTGTAATTTTTTTTCCTTTTACTCAGAATACAGTTTTAAAAAAAATAAATAGCAAAAAATCTGTAAAAGTTAAAAGTAATATGCTCTTTCACTTCATAATTAATTATATAATATAAATATATTAATGTTTTATTAATTATATCAATTATATAAAAATTATGCAATTACAATTAATACTGATTATAATTTATATATATCTGCAATTTTATTTATTATAATTTAAAATTATAATGTTAAATATGTTAAACTATAATATGTTTTCCTTTTCTATCGTTCTAATCAAAAATTTAATTCAATTTAATTCAATTATATCATAAAAACTAATCAAACTGATTAACAATTAATAACATTCCAAGATGAGTTACATACATCATAAAAACCATTTAAAGTATATGGCATAGTGATATATAAGTATTTGGAAATTAACAATAATTATGGTATCGTTATGTGAGTTTAAAGTTAAACAATATCTCTAGTTCAAAATGATCATTTCATTCAAAATTCAAATTTCATTCTTTTTAAGATCTAATCTCTCAGTCAATCTCAATCAGAAGATTCATAGTAGTAGTTCTTTCAGCACTCGTAACTCAATAATCAAAGCTTAGGTTTGAGCTGATATATTCTGGCTTTAACAAATTGAAATTAAGTAATGCCAGAATTTCATACATAATTAAATATCTAATTTTCTAAATGATCTAATTTAATTATCATACAGCAAAAAATTTCTTAAATTCGATACCTCGTGATAAACATAGAATCATGATAAAGTATAGACTTAATGATGTTGATTTAATTCAGCATATCACAGAACGATTTTTTAACAATAAAATAAAAACTAACAATCCTTAACTATTATTTGTATTTTATGATATAAAATTATAATAAAGAGTTTATATCCTTAGACTAAGATATCTTTCAAAATATCTCATGGAAGACTTCCGGCTATCTGCTGCCATCTTTTGAAGAATTCTGTCAAGTTGGTAACAACAGCTATCTGTAATATTTTATTTTACGATGAATCTTGCCAGTTATTCCGTTATTACTGCATATGAACAAACAGGTTTCCATAGTTTCCGGTCAAAGGTTAAAACTTTATCGATATTGCAGGGACCTTGTTCACCTTCTCTGTAACATCGACGAGTTCCTGGCCATAGGATCATGTTCTCAGGACATTTGGTGGCGAGCTTTACGTATTCTGCTTGGTCGGGAAAGTATAAGAAATCTGTATTCAAGATCATGTTCATACCATTTGTTGGATAGGTATGGATGCACCAAATCCAAAGAAAACTAAAGCTTGTGATCATAAGTAGCAAACGCATTCTTGCTTAGTAAATTGTTCACTATTCTGTAAATTCTGAAAGAAATATAATTAATGATTGGATTTTTCTTGTCGTTGCATTAATGTTTATCAACATTTTTCATTATTGGATCAATTAGGATTGAAATTAGATATAAAATAATATTTTAGATCGTTGTAACGACTTATAATTCTTAAAATGTGAAAAATGAGAGAGAGCATGCTTGGTGATCAATAGATGTAGCAATTAAATTTTTCTTTAAACATTCTTCTAACATTATAACTAACTGTGTTAATGAAATTATCATATAAGAAAGACTTTTATGTTCTAATTTTTAAAGTCTACAATAGATTTCAAATTGAGATTTAAAAAGCTTTCTTTGAAACGTTTATTACCGATATTTAATTTTTGTATATTTTAAATTTCTATTTAAAAGATTTTTATCCTTTGTATAGAATTTCTCTCAAATGTCACTGATGATGAGCAAAGTATGATTGAAAATTCAAAGGATTACAGACCAGTGTATCTCGCAAACGAACAATCGAAAATGTTATTGCATTTCTATCTTGCTGTAACAAGCTGTTTCAAAAGGATATAATTATTTTTATTTTATATATTTTATATCACGTTTCTTTTTCAAGAAATCAAAATATCGTTTATAGCTTTAAATTATTCCTTGTTTAACCTCTTTCATCCAATCCATTGAAATCAAATGCGATCAATTGAGCTATTGTTTTTTGAGTTTAAAATATCGATGACACAGTAACATCACCTGTTAACTATGATCGATAACCATTAGACAATGAAAAATAAAAAAAAAATAGAATACTGCTGATACATCATATTTGTTTAAGCGAGTATTTTGCATCATATTCGTATTCATGCTATGATAATTTATGCAATTTCCACGACGATTCAGAAATTAATAAATGTTAAACATAATACAATGAATATGAAATACAATGAATGTTGAGCTAATGAGCTACAATGTTTTTCTCGAAATCACAATCGTTAAAGTAATATTAATTTTGTAAAAATGAAAAATTGAAATGTTCGCAGATCCAATTTCAAGCGTAAAGTATAGCACAACTTCACTAGTTGATTACTTTGTTAAAGAAAATGAAAAATTGGAATTACTTTTTTTACTGAATGAATCCTTTAATTATAAAATACAAATTTCGAAATTATAAAAATCATTCAAGAAAAAGCATTATT